ACCAGGTTAAGGACCATGCGGTTGCTAGGATCACAAGCACCGAATACCAATAGTGTGTCACGAAATCGTGCATCTCATTCTGGACACCAGGCTGCCTCCAGTGCAGCACATTACTCAGGCGTTAATTCCGGCGTAGATTCTCTAAGCGCGCGAGAGAGTAGAACTCGTTCCACGGGCACGCGTGCATCTTTTACGTCAGATTCAGAACATAGAAACGGTTTCGGTCATGCCATTCCTTCAAGGACAGAAACCCGAACTAGCTCTCGGGTTAGCTCTCAATCCCGACATGAACGAGACAACGATAGTGTTTTTGATGATGCAGGAAGTGGGCGACAGACTAGATCAACTAGGTCAAGTGCACGGCGTGAGCTGGTTATGCGTTTTCCTGCTTCAAGGATACAACAAAATAGACATGAGGAGACTGTTTCCAATGGGCCGCCTGGGAGTAGGTATTCAACGCGCAGAAGCACGTCCTTAGCACGGGGTTCTTCTAGCGTAAACGGAGAAGAGAGTGACGAAGAAGAAGAAGGTGGAGACGAAGAGGAAGAGGGTAGCGACGAAGAAGAAGAACAGGGTGAAGGAAGCGATGAAGAAGGAGGAGATGAAGAGCAAGACGAGGAAGAAGACGAGGAGGAGGAGGAGGACGAAGACGATGAAGAAGAAGAGGAGGATGACGAAGAAGAAGAAGACAGTGACGACAGCACTGTGCAGTCACGACAGCAAACCCGTCGAAAGGCAGCGCGACCTACTCATCGGCCCACAGTGACAATGCGGCCAAATTCTAATCGCTCTGCTAAGACTGGTGCATCCCGCTCAGACAACCGAAAATCGAATGCGAGTTCCTCACGTAGGACTAGCGACGCGTCGCAAAGAAACGAAACTCCTGCGCCGTCGCGACGAAGTTTGCGGAGAAATTCGTCTGCGCGTCGCGTACATTACAACGAAAATGACTCGGACAGCGGAAGTGATTCGCCTGGAAACGAAATCATTGGAGTTTCCAGTCGTGGTAGGGTGAGGAAACCGGCTATAAGAATGCAGGATTATGTCGAGTAGGCATTTCTTCAATTTTCAATTGGGGTTCGAACGTCGTCTAGTGTACGCGATGATTGTTATGTCCATAGAATTTACTTGGACGACGAGCAGAAGGAAGTTGTGTGTTGACTTATCGACCACTTACTTGCACGGTTGTTGTATGTTATGTTGCGAAGGAAAAATTCACAACTTGTCCATCTGAGGGGAAGGGATTAAACGGATGAGGGATTCAAGTAGCAGCTCGTCAAAATGGCAAAACAGAACACACTGTGGTATTGCGGTAAGAGGGAATTTTCAACTCTCTTGTCCTGCCAGTCTTACGCAAAGATACTGAGTGATTCGAGGTAACAAATGGAATAGATACTTAGTTAATTTTTGACGCGAATAAATATTAAAAGTCAGCATTCTTTTCGCAAATGGAAGAAATATTGAACCTGGATGTTTTTGTATTTTTATATCCATGAGTGCATCGTTTCGATCCGATTTAAGAACAATACGTTTCATTGTGAAGGATAGAATTTAATTAGATCTCTTCCTCAACATACAGCCATCTAAGAACTTCACTTCTTTAAATTTCCAATGCTCTATAGTCTGTTTACGTGATCTAAACTTGTTTATGATATTTCTTTCTGCTTGTGTTTACAGTACTAAAGGGAATACTTGAATAATATATAATTATTGTCATTATATATTCGCCATCCATTCGTTTTATACTTGACTTTTTCGCGTTTCTTGTGCGCTTATCTATTAGAGGTTAAGACATTCTTTTTCTTTAATTATTTTCGTGCTTTTTATATGGTATTAAGTTTCGCGCTTTTGTAAGAGACCCAAGCGCGCGATGAACTTTATTCGAATTTTTTCTTGCAGCGTTTGTTGCTTCGCATTAACAGCCATTTTGGTCACATTTGGTAATAAAATAAACGTAATTCTACAAGGCTCAAACTTAGTGTGTTTGTGTATTTAGTATTTATTTATTTGTTTAAGCAGGTTTATTAATTGGCAGCTTAGCTGATGTGGACCTGCTGTATTAACCCACCCATCTCAACCCAGGGGAGGATATCCATCACACAGTAATCTCGTGCGTGGGAAATTAACGTTTCCTATCCCTAACCCTGCAGGAGACGGGACCTCCATTTACTCGTCCCTATCCGAGAAGACTAGAATATCTAACCATTTCTTGATGTTATAGAAAGGTAGCATATTCTACTCAATTATTTTAAGACCCTGAGTGTTGGTCCGGAAATTTTGTATTTTCTCTTGGAAGACTGGGAAAGTCAGTTGGCAGAGACGAGGTTTACGGTCGAGGAGGGTTTTCCAGTTTCCGTTGTCTTTCGGATTTTCACCCGTTAAAACATAACACTAAATCGACAGATGTTCGGACCTAAATGGTATTTCAAAAAATTTCCCAGCCTGTGCCAGGCTTTCGGTCAGCGGTAAGGGAGCAAAAAAAAAAAAAACCGCGCGAAAAGTGGCGTGGATCAGGTGTAACCATTTGGCTTTGCCACAAGTTGCTCGGCAACTTTCGGCAACTTTTGAGATTTTCGGCAACTTTTTAGAATTTTCGGCAACTTTGGGCCTTTTGAGGTTCTTTGAAGCCACTTTCTTCCCGTTTTGAGCCACATTGGTCAGTTTTCGATAGACATTTATTCAATTTATTCTAAAATACAATAATTATCCCCCCACACCGATGGGTTGATTTTTGTGATGCCTTATCCCGAGGTCAGCGGTTTCACGTTGCACGTTTTTCAAGATGGCGGACAATTACAGTGATTCCAATACATCCAACTTAGATGAATCTTCTCATTCTGATAGACTATTTGTTGATCAAGTGAAATGGAAAGAACCTCCGATATTATCATTGGACTTTGACAAATAAAGTTTTGATAAGAAGCAATGTGTGAATTTTTAATCTTTAACACCAAAAAAAGGTACGAAAAGCAGAAAAATTTTGGCAACTTTTCGGCAACTTTTTGGAAATTCAGCAACTTTTCGGCAACTTTTTGAAAAAAATAGCAATTTTCTAACAACTTTTAGATACTTTTATCGGCAACTTTTTCGGGATTCATCGGCAACTTGTGGCTAGGCCTAATCACGAGGCAAGTCCCAGTCCAAGTCGAATTTGAGTGACGAGTCAATCCCAGTTCAAGTAAACTCAATTTTTTTTGTTCTTACGTAAAAGATGATATCGATAGACAACACTATATAATTTTAGCCTTCAAAAACAAACAAAAAAATATTAAACCCTGCATTTAAATAGGTTGTTTACCTTTTTCTTCAGTTGAAACATCATGAAGTCGTTACTTTAAGCGCTGTAATAGAAATGTCGCGAATTTCACAAAACTTTTCAAAGGCTGTTGTCGTCCATCAAGACATATCAGATCCCCAGTGACAACCACAACTAATGCTACAATTGCAAAACATTGACTCTTATTGATAATTTTCAACTTCCTATTCATGCATATGACAGCGTTTATGCTACATGTCTCGACAAATTTGAGAGCCATCGGAAATCTTGAAAAGTGAAACCTGTGTATAGTATTACGACACGATCAGTCGAGGGTTAAACTATGTCTTACGGGGGAATGCACTGTTTTTTGAGTGATCTGCATGGACACTTAGCGAAGAAGAAAATATTTTGCTGATGGGATCGGGAAAGTTATTCCCAGATATAGAAAGTAAAGTATATAACAATAAAGCCTTTGTCAAACGGCGTATGATAGTCGATGATGGTTGATTCTCTTCAAACTATCATCAACTATCACCAACAATCATTCGCATGGTCAAACGGCCAAAAAAGCTCGTGATAGTTGATGATAGTTCACCGGCAGTCGAGCGAGCAAAGTCACGGGAGCAGCTAGTTCCAGGCTCTTTCCGCGTAAAATGTGAACACTAA